ATGGTCATCTATTAAGTTTCTCAAGATCCACATATGGGTGAAAACCTATGATATCTGTCTTTCTCTGACTGAATTATTTCACTTAGCATAATACCTTCCAGTTCCATCCATGTTGCTGCAAACAGCCAGATTTCATTCCTTCTCATTGCCAAGTAGTATTCCACTGTATATATAAACCAAATCTTCTTTATCTACTCATCAGTTGTTGGACATTTAGTCTCTTTCCAAATTTGACTATTGTTGAAAGCGCTGCTATAAACATTGGGGTACATGTGCCCCTATGAATCAGCACTCCTGTATTCCTTGGGTAATTCCTAGCAGTGCTATTGCTGGATCACAGGGTAGTTCTATTTTTAATTTTTTGAAGAACCTCCACACTGTTTTTCAGAGCGGCTGCACCAGTTTGCATTCCCACCAACAGTGCAAGAGGGTTCCCGTTTCTCCACATCCTCTCCAGCATCTATAGTCTCCTGATTTGTTCACTTTAGCTACTCTGACCATCATGAGGTGGTATCTCAGTGTGGTTTTGATTTGTATTTCCCTGATGAGTGATGTTGAGCAACGTTTCATGTGTCCGTTGGCCACCTGGATGTCTTCTTTAGAAAAGTGTCTATTCATGTCTTCTACCCATTTCTTCACTGGATTATTTGTTTTTCAGGTGTGGAGTTTGGTGAGTTCTTTATAGATTTTGGATACTAGCCCCTTATCCAATATGTCATTTGCAAATATCTTTTTCCAGTCCACTGGTTGCCTTTTAGTTTTACTGATTGTTTCCTTTGCAGTACAGAAGATTTTTATCTTCATGAGGTTCCAATAGTTCATTTTTGCTTTTAATTCCCTGGCCTTTGAAGATGTGTCAAGTAAGAAATTGCTGCGGCTGAGGTCAGAGAGGTTTTTTCCTGCTTTCTCCTCTAGGGTTTTGATGGTTTCCTGTCTCACATGCAGGTTCTTCATCCATTTTGAGTTTATTTTTGTGAATGGTGTAAGAAAGTGATCTAGTTTCATTCTTCTGCATGTTGCTGTCCAGTTCTCCCAGCACCATTTGTTAAAGAGACTGTCTTTTTTCCACTGGATACTCTTTCTTGCTTTGTCAAAGATTAGTTGGCCATATATTTGTGGGTCCAATTCTGGGTTCTCTATTCTATCCCATTGGTCTGTGTGTCTGTTTTTGTGTCAATACCATACTGTCTTGATGATTACAGCTTTGTAGTAGAGACTAAAGTCTGGGATTGTGATGCCTCCTGCTTTAGTTTTCTTCTTCAGTATTACTTTAGCTATTCAGGGTCCTTTGTGGTTCTATACAAATTTTAGAATTGTTTGTTTTAGCTTTGAGAAGAATGCTGGTGCAATTTTGATAGGTATTGCATTGAATGTGTAGACTGCTTTAGGTAGTATTGACATTTTAACAATATTTATTCTTCCAATCCATGAGCACAGAATGTTTTACCATTTCTTTGTATCTTCTTCAATTTCCTTCATAAGCTTTCTATAGTTTTCAGCATACAGATCTTTCACATCTTTGGTTAAGTTTATTCCTAGTTGTTTTATGGTTCTTGGTGCAACTATAAATGGGATCAATTTCTTGATATCTCTTTCTGTTGCTTCATTATTGGTGTATAAAAATGCAACCAATTTCTGTACCTGGATTTTGTACTTTGAGACTTTGCTGAGTTCATGTATCAGTTCTAGCAGACTTTTGGTGGAGTCTGTCGGGTTTTCCATGTAGAGTATCATGTCGTCTGCAAAAAGTGAAAGTTTGACATCATCTTTGCCAATTTTGATGCCTCTTAATTCATTTTGTTGTCTGACTGCTGATGCTAGACTTCCAACACTATGTTAAACAACAGTGGTGAGAGTGGACATCCTGTTGTGTTCCTGATCTCAGGGGGAAAGCTCTCAGTTTTTCCCCATTGAGGATATTAGCTGTGGGCTTTTCATAAATGGACTTTACAATGTTTAAGTATGTTCCTTCTATCCCAACTTTCCTGAGGGTCTTTATTAAAAAAGGATGCTGAGGGGCACCTGGGTGGCTCCATCAGTTGGGCAACCGACTTCAGCTCGGGTCATGATCTCGCAGTTTGTGAGTTCGAGCCCTGCATCGGGCTCTGTGCTGACAACTCAGAGCCTGCGGTCTGCTTCAGATTCTGTGTCTCCCCCTCTCTCTGCCCTTTCCCTGCTCATGCTCTGTGTCTCTCTGTCCCTTAATAATAAATGTTAAAAAATAAAAAATAAAAAGAAATATAAGAAAGGATGCTGAATTTTGTCAAATGCTTTTATGCATCGATTGACAGGATCATATGGTTCTTATCTAATTAATGTGATGTTTCACATTGATTGATTTGTGAATATTGAACCAGCCCTGCAGCCCAGGAATGAATCCCACTTGATCATAGTAGTTCTTTTTATATGCTGTTGAATATGACTTGCTCGAATCTTGTTGAGAATTTTTGCATCCATATTCATCAGGGATATTGGCCTGTAGTTCTCTTTTTTTTGCTGGGTCTCTGTCTGGTTTGGGAATCAAAATTATGCTGGCTTCGTAGAATGAGTCTGGAAGTTTTCCTTCCATTTCTATTTTTTGGAACAGCTTGAGAAGGATAAGTATTATCTCACTTTAAATGTCTGGTAGAATTCCCCAGGGAAGCCATCTGGTCCTGGACTCTTTATTTGTTGGGAGATTTTTGATAACTGATTCAATTTCTTCACTAGTTATGGGTCTGTTCAGATTTTCTATTTCTTCCTGTTTGAGTTTTGGTTGTGTGTGGGTGTTTAGAAATTTGTCCATTTCTTCCAGGTTGTCCAGTTTGTTGACATATAATTTTTCACAATATTCACTGATAATTGCTTGTATTTCTGAGGGATTGATTGTAATAAATCCATTTTCATGCGTGATTTTATCTATTTGGGTCCTCTCTTCTCTCTTTTTGAGAAACCTAGGTAGAGGTTTATCAATTTTATTTTTTCAAAAAACCAACTCTTAGTTTCATTAATCTGTTATCCTGATTTTTTTTTTTATTTTGTATTGTTTATTTCTTCTATGATCTTTACTTCTTTTCTTCTACTGGGTTTGGGTTTCTTTGTTGTTCTGCTTCTAGTTCCTTTAGGTGTGCTGTTAGATTTTGTATTGGGGATTTCTCTTGTTTCTTGAGACAGGCCTGAATTGCAATGTATTTTCCACGTAGAACTGTCTTTGCTGCATTCCAAAGGGTTTGGACTGTTGTGTTTTCATTTTCATTTGTTTCTGTATATTTTTTTAACTTCTTTAATTGCCTGGTTGACCCATTCGTTCTTTACAAGAATGTCCTTTAACCTCCATGTATTTGGAGGTTTTCCAAGCTTTTTCCTGTGGTGGATTTCAAGTTTCATAGCATTGTGATCTGAAAGTGTGCATGGTATGATCTCAATTCTTTTATATTTATTGAGTGCTGTTTTGTGACCCAGTATGTGATACTGGAGAATGTTCCATGTGTACTCAAGAAGAAAGTATATTCTGCTGCTTAAGGATGAATAGTTCTAAATATATCTGTCAAGTCCATCTGGTCCAGTGTATCATTCAGGCACTTGTTTCTTTACTGATTTTGTCTAGATGATCTGTCCATTATTGTAAGTGGAGTATTAAAGCCCCCTACAATTACCACATTCTAAACAATAAGATTGCTTATGTCTGTGATTGTTTTATGTATTTGGGTGCTTCCGAATTCAGTGCATAGACATTTATAACTGTTAGTTCCTCCTGATGGATAGACCCCCACAATTATTATATAATGCCCTTCTTCATCTTTTGTTACAGCCTTAAGTTTAAAATCTAGTTTGTCTGATGTAAGTATGGCTACTCCAGCTTTCTTTTGACTTCCAGTAGCCTGAGAGATGGTTCTCCATCCACTCACTTTCAATCTGAAGGTGTCCTCAGGTCTAAAATGGGTCTCTTGTAGACAGCAAATAGATGGGTCTTGTTTTTTTTATCCATTCTGATACCCTATGTCTTTTGATTGGAGCATTTAGTCCACTTACATTCAGTGTTATTATTGAAAGATAGGGATTTAGAGTCATTGTGTCATCTGTAGGTTTCATGCTTGTAGTGATATCTCTGGTACGTTGTGGTCCTTGCAACATTTCACTCACAGAGTCCCCCTTAGGATCTCTTGTAGGACTGGTTTAGTGGTGACGAATTCCTTCAGTTTTTTATTTTTTGTTTGTTTTTTTTTTTGTCTGGGAAAACCTTTATCTCTCCTATTCTGAATGACAGGCTTGCTGGATAAAGGATTCTTGGCTGCATATTTTTCCTGTTCATCACATTGAAGGTCACCCACCATTCTTTTCTGCCCTGCCAAGTTTCAGTAGATAGGTCTGCTACTACCCTTATGTATGTTAAGGCCCGTTTATCCCTAACTGCTTTCAGAATTCTCTATCTTTGCATTTTGCCAGTTTCACTATGATATGTCATACAGAAGATAGATTCAAGTTACACCTGAAGGGAGTTCTCTGTGCCCCCTGGACGTGAATGTCTGTTTGGGGAAGTTCTCAGCTATGATATGTTCAAGTACACCTTTGGCCCCTTTCTGTCTCTTTTCTTCTTCTTCTGGAACTCCTATGATACGGCTATTGTTCCCTTTCATTGAATCACTTAGTTCTCTAATTCTCCCCTTGTGATCCAGAATTTTTTTTATCTTTTTCTCAGCTTCCTCTTTTTCCATAACTTTATCTTCTAATTCACCTATTGTCCCCTCTGCCTCTTCAATCCCTGCTGTTACCGCCTCTATTTTATTTTGCACCTCATTTATAGCATTTTTTAATTCAACATTACTATTTTTTAGTTCCTTGATCTCTGCAGCAATAGATTCTCTAGTGTCTTCTATGCTTTTTTCAAGCCCAATTAATCTTATATCTGTTTTGATCAATACTTTAGCTGTCATTTCTTCCTGGAATATCTTTTGAGGAGAAATCTTCTGTTTCATCATTTTGGCTAGTTTTCTGTACCTTATGTGTTTTAAAAGTTTGTTATGTGCTCTGCACCTGTGAGCACTGCTATATTAAAGAGGGGTCGGGGCACCTGGGTGGCACAGTCGGTTGAGCGTCCGACTTCAGCCAGGTCACGATCTCGCGGTCCGTGAGTTCGAGCCCCGCGTCAGGCTCTGGGCTGATGGCTCGGAGCCTGGAGCCTGTTTCCGATTCTGTGTCTCCCTCTCTCTCTGCCCCTCCCCCGTTCATGCTCTGTCTCTCTCTGTCAAAAATAAATAAATGTTGAAATAAAGAGGGGTCATACACTGTCCAGGGCCTGGCCCTTCAGGAGGTGTTTTTTGGAGAGTGTTACTTGCTTTGTGTTGCTGTGACTTTGGTTATTATATTTCCCTACTCGTAGTGATGCTTTGGACCCTCCACCAGATGTGCTTTGATTTGTTCCTTGAAGTAGCCCTGGAAAGGAAAACAAACAGAAAACAAAACACAGAAACACACAAATAAAAAAAGAAAAGGAAAGGAAAAAAACAACCCAAAAGCAAAAAACCAGAAATACCAGCTGCAAGTAAAGAACAGGGTAGAGGTGGTGCTGATGGAAGAGCACATACAAAGAGAGAAATGACAAGGGTAGGGAAAAAGAAAAACACTGACAAGGCAGAGAGACTAAATGGCTTAATCCAGAAAGACAGAAAGGAAAGGAAAGGAAAGGAGCCGGCCGGGGGAAAAATAAAAGAAGGTAAGGTTGTCCAGACAGAGAAACTATACAGCTTAATTATTCCAGAGAGAAAGTAAAGAAGGAGGTACAGAACATGTATCAAGAGAATGGATTAAGTATGTCTGCTTAAACAAACCAACAACCAGCGTACCCAGACTACAGGAGGGAAGAGATAAGGAGAAAAGGAAGGAAAAATATATCTATATAATAAGAATTGTCTGCGAATTAATCCAGGCAATGCAGCAGCACTGGTCTGAAGGAGGGGCCATCTAGTTCCTCAGCATCTATGCCGCTCTAGTAGATACGCAGTTACCAGGCGCAGAGTGGTGTGGTTTGATGTAGGGGGGTCCCGCCTCCAATGTGGGCCCTACTGTCTGATCCCTGAGGTCCCACCTTGGTGGTGGTGGGGAGAAAAATGACGACACCCTCCTCCCCGCCAGTCTCTCCTCCACAGACCAGTGACCCAAACTACTCTGTAAAAGCCGTCCTCACTGTGCCGCAGGCACAAACGAGGCAGTTCGTTTCATTCCACCGACTCCCATGCCCCAGCACTTGGCTGGGATTCAAACTCCCGCTCCATGCTCCCTGGTATTGGGGAAGCACTGCTCTTCGCCACCCCATATGTGGTCCCCCGACAGGCTTTGTCCTGTCCCACAGCACTCCAAGGGAGGGGATCACTTTCTCCTACTGCAGACTGCACCCCTGACCTAGCCACCGAGCCCAGGGCTGGCTCCCCTCCTCCCCAGGTACACAAACAGGGCAGCTGGCCCCAATCTGGAGAAAGGCCCACAATTAGAGATTGGATCTTTCTCCATCCCCGTCATGGTTCTTCTCTTGTCCAGATACAGTCTTATGCTTCCCCAGCCGCTCTTTCTTTCCCTTTGTCTCTCCAGAGAAGGGGATCCCTCCCCTCCATTTGTTTTATCTCTGCCAGTTCACAATCACACACCTATGGCCCGGCAGGTTGTCCCAGTGTACTCCTGGTAGCAACCCAGTCTCTTTTCCTCCCAAACTCTTGGGGCTCAAAGTCCTTTGGCTCCAACACTTCTTTGTTTGAGAGACGCAGGAAGTTCAGATCCCCTTACTTCTCTGCCATGTTGGCCACTCCCCCAAGTATCCTCTTGAATCACATCACGATGAAGTTAGAAATCAATGATAAAAGAACAATGGAAACTTGGAAGAAATGGGAAACTTAATACCCTTTCAAAAACAACCAATGCATCAAAGAGGTAATCACAAGGGAAATTAGAAAACACTTAGAAGCATGGGACACCTGTGTGGCTCAGTTGGTTAAGCATCTGGCTTCGGCTCAGGTCATGGTCCCATGGTTTGTGAGTTCGAGCCCCACATCAGGCTGTCTATTGTCAACATAGAGCCTGCTTTGGATCCTCTGTTCCCCTCTTTCTCTGTCCCTCCCCTGCTTGCACCCTCTCTCTCTCTCTCAAAAATAAACATTAGGGGAAAAAAAAAAGAAAATACTTAGAAGCAAAGGAAAATAAAAACACAATATACCAAAACTTACAGGAGCCACAGTGAAAGCAGTGCTAAGTAGGAAACTTATGATTATAAACACATTTTTTAAAAATCTCAAATCAATAACCTAGCTTTACAAATTAAGAAACCAGAAAAGGAAAACTAAACCCAAAACTAGCAGAAGAAATGAAATATAGAGTAAAAAATAAATAAAACAGAAAACAGATAAACGGCAGAAGAAAACAATCCAAAAGTTGGTTCTTTGAAGAAATCAATACAATTGACAAAATTTCAGGTAAATCAACTAAGACAAAAGAGAGAAGGCTCAAATTAGTAAAATTAGAAATGAAAATGGGGACATTACTTCTGACTCTACAAAAATAAAAATAATTATAAAAGAATACTATAAACAATTGTACATCAACAAATTGAATATGAAATAGACAAGTTCCTAGGAAATAAAACCTAAATCACAAAGAAATAGAAAATATAAATAGAGACTTACAACTACTAAGAATCAATTATTGGGGTGTCTCAGAGGCTTAATTGGTTGAGTGATCGACTCTTGATTTCAGCTCAGGTCCATGATCTCACAGTTTGTGAGACTGAGCCCCACATTGGGCTCTGCACTGAGACTGTGGGGCCTGCTTGGGATTCTCTCTCCCTCTCCCTCTGCTCCTCCCCACTCATGCTCTCTCTCTCAAAATAAATTAATAAACTTAAAAAAAAGAATCAATGATTACATCAATAATCAAAAATCTCCCCCAAAATTAAAGACCTGGACCTAACGGCTTCACTGGCGAATTCTACCAAGCATTTTATTTAAAGAAGAACTAATGTTATTCCTTCATAACATTTCCCAAAAATTGACAAGGACAGAATATTTCCCATCTCATTCTGTGAGGTCAGCATTACCTTGATTCAGAAACAAAGACTATGAAAAAACTACAAACGTATAAATCTTAATGAACAGTAACGCAAAATCCTCAACAAAATAATAGCAAACAAAATCGGTGACATATTAAAAGGATTATACACAATGACCAAGTGGGATTTATTTCTGGAATGCAAGGTGGTTCAACATATAAAAATGAATAAATATAGTACACTATATCAAAATGAAAGAAAAAAAAACCACATGATCATCTCAACTGATGCAGAAAAATAATTTCATAATACTCAACACACTTTCAAGATAAAAACACTGAACAAACTACAAACAGAAGGAAACTACCTCAACATAATAAAAGCCATTCATGAAAAACTCACAGTGAACATCATACTCAATGGTGAAAGAACATATTTTTGCTAAAATCAGAAACAAGGCAAGGATGCCCATCCTTCACCACTTCTATTCAAGAGTACTTCAAGTTCTAGCCAGAGCACTTAGTCAAGAAGAAATAAAAGGCATGCAAATTAGAAGATTACCTCTACTCACAGATGATATGATCTTATAGGCAGAATATCCCAAAGACTCCACAAAAAAACCTGCAGAATTAATGAATTCAGCAAAGTAGACTACAAAGTCAACACACAAAAATCAACTGCATGTCCATACACATCTCTAATTCTCAGTTTCTTCATTTATAAAAGAACAAGATTGGTCTAGGACAGGGTCAGCAATCTTTGTCTGTAAATGACCCAAAAAGTAAATACTTTAGCCTCAATGGGACATGAGGTTTCTATCACAACTACTCAACTTTGCCACTGAAACACAACAGCAACCACAGTCAACAGTAAATAACTGAGCATAATTGTGTTCCAATAAAAATTTATAAAAACAACTGGTAGGCATGATTTAGCCCCAGGGCCATAGTTGTAATAACCTGAGAAGGATGACTGGTTTAAACCCAACTATATCAAATCATGTTAAATATAAACGGCCTAAACACCAACAAACAAAAAAGGCACAGATTATGGAATACTACTCAGCAATTTTTTAAAAAGTTAGCCACTAAAACATGTAACATGCTGAATGAAGAAAAAAAAAAGCCAACCTCAAAGGGTTACATGCTTTTGGAATGTATGATTCCATTTATGTAACATTTTCAAAATGACCAAAGTATAGAGATGGAGAACATATTAGTGGTTTAGGGGTTAGGGAAAGATGAGAAGTGAGGAATGCCTGGGTTTGTAAAAGGTATTTGTGATGGAACTGGAAAAAAAGATACTTGTGATGGAACTAGACCTTGACTATGATGTGGTCACATGAATCAGTGTCAATTTCCAGGTTGTGATATTGTACTAAAGCTATGTCAGATATTACCATTGAGGAAAATTGGATGAAGGGTATACAAGATCATTTCTTACAACTGCAAATAAACCTAAAATTATCTCAAATAAAGGCATTAAAAAAAAAAAGATTGTCATACTGCATAAGAAGTGTGACTCAACATTAAATTGCCTATGAAACAACACCAACTTTTAAGTATAAAAATACAAATAAGTTAATGTAAAGGATAGAAACAGATATACCATGCTAACAGTACTTAAAAGTAAACTGAAGGAGACACATTATCTCATAACACAGACATCAAAGCCAAGAAAATTACCAGTTATAAAAAGACATTACCTAAAAAGCGGATAACCAACACACAAAAGAATGAAGTTAGACTCTTTATACCATATGCATAAATTAACTCAAAATGCATTAAGGATCTAAATTTAAAGCCTGAAACTATAAAACTGTTAGAAGAAAACAGAGGAAAAGCTTCATGACATTGGATATGGCAATGATTTCTTGAATATAACACCAAAAGTACAGACAACAAAAGAATTATGTCCATACAATACCCACCCACATCAGGCATCGGGACTTGCACTGGAAAGACAAATTTCCATAACATTTGGCTTTGAAAACCAGTAGGGATTAACTACATGAGTTTTTACAACAGGTGTGGCTTAACTCCAGGTACTTAAAATCAGCAGGCTTGACTCTGGGAAAGCCAGAAGGTATTAGGAAATTGAGTCCTTGCCCTGAAAGACCCAATATAAAAGCAGCAATTTGAAAAGCACCTGGGATACGTAGGAAGAAGTGTTATTTAATCTCAGAACATGTGCTGGACGGGCAGGAATCTTTAGGAGACTTAAGAACAAAAGATCTGGCCGGTGCCATTTCTCCTCCCACCCCCAAGTCTAGGTAGCTGGACATTTCTAGGAACATGCTCCAATGCACTAGCTAACACCACATACCCTGCCCCTGTGTTCTCCTGTGGATCTGCTCCATCCAACCCTGTCCAACTTGGCAAGCATCCCTCCAAAGCAGCTCCTGCTACAACACATCCTATAAGAAGCCCAATCAGGGAACAGCACCACTCCCTGTGCCTGGGGAGAGGGGAAGAGAACTACACACACCAGTGCAACTGCAGCCTCAGCAGACTTACTGGGGGCAGGCATCTGGTCTGATATCAGACCTGCCAACGAACAAAAGCCTCTCAGGGGACAACACAGGAAAAG